CTTTTGCGTTCAGCTGTGAAATGATGAAAGCTTCTTTATCCTGCAGAAAGCATGAAAATTTTTATTTTCCTTTCTACAGAATTAAGAACATACATTAAGAAAGGAAACAGTAGCAAAAGAACAAACAGAGCAATCTCAGAAAATGTACACATGCTCGTATTTGAAGGGAGAGCTGAGTGGTCTACATAATGAAGTGGCAGGTAAAACTTAAATTGGAATCACTGCATAGATAAATGCATAATATAAACTGGTATTTCTTTCACCTCATGAGGTTTTATAGTGCAATGGCGCCCTCTGCTGGTGAGCTTAAGAAATATCTGCATGCTGATAAGAGGAACATCCTCTGAGATGTAATTTTTGATGAATACAGTTATGATGCGACACTGATTCTTATGTGGACGCTCTGCCTGTGTTGGGAGGTCAGAGGTCAGAGGTCAGCTGCAGGGGCTCAGGGTGGAGGATGTTTGCTGACTCAGAAGCTTCCCTTCAGTTCAGCTGGTTTAGTGGGAGGTTTGTCTGTAACTGTGTCATACTTCTGCCTGAACATTTCCACAGAAAACGGTTTGCTTCTTAATGAAACGGCTGAAACAATAACTGATTAATCAAAAAACTGATGCAGATATATCTGTGTAGGTACATCTGGAGGTTTACCTGTATGTGTATCAGGGTTGAACTATTCCTGGAGTGAAGTGAAATATATAAAAGAAGATGTTAACATCTTTTATAAATAACAAAACAAGAGTGTAAACCTTGCTGAAGGTGATGTTTTGTTTGGTCCAGAAGTCGTGGTTCCAGTCCTCCGTCTCCTGCCTCAGGTGTCGCAGATGTTTCTCCAGCTCCGTTTCGTTTTCGGGGACGTGGTAGACGATCGGCCGCAGGTTTGAAAGAGGGTTCGGCGGACCGATCCAGTCGTGTGTGGTGCTCGCTGCTGGCCTGAAGGGCAATCTCTATAGAGCAATGAAGAAAAGCAAAAAGATTCAATTCAGTTTACTTACACTGAGTAATCAGGGGAAGGCACATGGTTTACAGACGCAGCTGCCTTCAGCCACCTGCTTATCATTTCTAACCAGACGGCCGGATGAGACGAGCTAAGCAGCAGAGCAAACGTTCCAGGACTCAGAGACCAGGCGACAGGTGAATATAACTGCAGATATAGAGTCAGCTGAACGCTCCAGAAGTGATTATATTCATTTAAAAAACACGTTATAGTTCTGAAAATGAACACTCTCTCTCCATCATCAGTTCACACATAACTGGGACTCATTGTAAATGTTCACCAGCACCCAAAAACTAAATAATAAGCTTTGGATCAAGCTTCAAATTAACCATGACCTGGTCCTAGATGACTGAGAACCTACACAGACGTGTTTGTATTTATGATCAATGACTAGATTTATGATTTTGTCAACTTTTTTGCTTCTACTCCACTTTAACTCAAAGGTCAACACTTTTCACATCACAATTTTGTCATTCTTCTTTAAGAAAAAGCTAAAGACCCAGCTCTTTCATGAATACCTACTAACTTAATGATGATGGTCTCCATATTATTGATGATGATGGTAATGACGATGTTTTTGTTTGATAACGACGACTTATAAGATGGTTTCTATACTGATTAGAGCTCTCAAGAACTGCCCTCAATGTTGTGCTTTGCCTCTGGTCACTTCCTGTCAGCACCTGTGTGTCCAATCAGACTCAAAGCTGATCGTTTGCTCTTACTCACATTGTTCCCTTTTTTCTAGATCCTTGCTTGTGTTGTTCTTACTCTCTGATGTACGTCGCTTTGGATAAAAGCGTCTGCTAAGTGAATTGTAGAATTCTTCTTGTGTGATTCAAACCACATACATCAGAATGTCGTGATCTCGACTTGGATTTTAAAACCAAGATGGAAGCATCATTATTGCATTTCAACTTTACAGTCATTTACAACCAAAACCAAAGGAGTGGAATCTTATTCATTGGAGTTTAAATCCTCATAATATCTTAAATAGTTCATCAGTGCTTTCTAAACTTTCCTCTGAAAATGATAAACTCATCAGCCAGAATGACCACAAGTGTAATGTAAAGCAATAAAATTATACAATAGCTTTTTACAAAGCTTCTACATTATCAGTTTTGTTGACATGGTCAGAAAGGTGATTGTTCTGAAGTAAGGGGAAAAAGTTTTAACCTCTGCCTTTAAACTAACGTAAGGATAGGCTAGCTGTAGTCTAGACCAGGGATGGGCAACTTTGGTCGCAGCAAGGGCCACATTCATTTAATTCTCACTGCCAGGGGGCCAAACTGTAGGATACAAAAACAATTACAGTCAATTATGTCTCCAATTTAACTCATCATATACCACTGATCTAATATTATTATGGACATATTTCTGCTTTTCATGACTTCATGGCAGATTTTGTCATGTTTTTCTTCATGTTTCCAATTAACTGATATGTAAAACTTGACCCGAGGGCCACGTTGAGGGTTGATGGGGGCCGCATGTGGAAACTGAAACTTAAGAACTTTAAAATTAATTTAATTTAATTTTAGTACATTTTGTCAACACGCAATACAGTTAGTCCCGCCTCTAACATGGCAAACAGCCAATAAGAGTTTCGAATTTTTAGAGTGGCACCTGTGGTGGCCAATCAGATTTCAAGGCGGGGCCATGGAACAACACCTGTGGACAGGCTCCTCCTTCCACCACTAATGTAGAATTAAAGCTTAGCAACCGCAACTGTCTCATAGCAACACACGCACACACAGATCAACAACTCTGAACAGGCCGTGAAGGTAACGAGGACGTTAACACTGCAGGTCAGTCAAACATTCACTTCATGTTCATCTTCTGTTAGAGGTTAGAGTGTGTTTGTGATGATTTACGTACCTTTGGTTTTTTGTCCTGTGGGGCTTCCTGTACGGAGCTGCACAGCCGACTGTTTGCAGCTGATAAGCGGTGTGGGCGCAGAGCAGCGTGGAGGGTGAAAATCCTCCGTGACAAACACCCCACTGCTGCTGCTAATGTTGTTGTTGTGGACGCCATTTTTTATTAACCGAAACTAAACTGTATTCAGTACACAGAAACCTGCTGTTCATTTAATCCTACTCTTCAGTTTTTAGGGGGGAGTTGTTGTAGGTGTCCTTCGAGGAGCACAGCCATCCGCTTAGTGACGTAAATCCGACAATGAAACGGTGGGCTTCATAAACTCACCGGCACTGTCAGGGTGGAGTCAGCCGGGCGGGGTTATCATTAAATGAGGGGCGGGTCTTTTACTCAAAGTGGGACTGTTACTACTTCAATTGACGTATTTCTATTCACGGTATTATTTTATCCTGCTTCATAAATTATTTTACTCGTAACAATTTGAAAACTTCTTCCGCCAATGCTTTAAAATAAATTAAATTAATAAATAAATAAATTATTAATTATCAATTAAATTAATAATATTTAAAAAAATATTTGGTGATATTTTACTTTAAATTATGCTGGAATTTTGTCACTAATGCATTAACATTTTTCACACTGTAGCCGGCTGCAGCACTAAATGTTTCTAATTTCTCAATCTGTTGGGTTATTGTTGAAGAAGTGTAAAGTACAGTCATACCATAAAACTTTCTCTGGCTTTTATTATCTTATTATCAGTCAATTAAATTACCTTGCCTTCATTTTGGACAGGTGTCTTTAAGGCAAAGACCTTTAATTATTTTTCAAACAAAACTTGTGAACATGCAGCAAAGATGGGAATGACCTAAAAATTGTAAATTCACACCAGAAAGAATATTTAACCATGTTCAAAATTAAAATATTGACAAACAAATCACTAATTTGATCATGCTGTGTACAGCAATACAGTATGCAAATCTGCTTCACAGATCTGTATGCATACAAGTATTATTCTGTCTTTCTTGGACAGATGTTGTAGTTTATCTTTATTTGTTATGTCTTTTTTTTTTAAAGACTACTTTATTGCAGGCTGTTTTACTACATTACAAGTTGTCATATTTCATCACATATTTTGTTCATCCTGGCAAATTTTTATATATAATGTTTTTAAACATACAAGAATACATACATGAAATAAAAAAAATAAAAAATCCAAAGAAAAGGTATGAAGAGAAAAAAAGATAATTAAAATAAGATTGAGAAAGAAAAAATACTACTAATAAGAAAAATAATAATAAAATTAAACTGTAAATAAAATGGGGGAGGGGGGGTTGTTCTTTCACTGCTCTCTTAATTTAATATAATTTAATGTAAATTAAATTTGTTATGTCTTGCAGCTTTTTCTCCTTATTTTTATCCGCCCACTATTTTAACACCAAATGCATCGGGGCCTCTAACGGAGAGCTGCCTTCATTTGTCAAAACATGGGACACATTAGTCTCCTTACATCAAAGGTTCTATAATTAGTTATAGATTATTAAAGTAATAAATGCATGAGAGGGAAGAAAACATAAAAACTAGTGTGATTGCACTGTTAAGTGACCCCGCCCTCGCCACTACACCTCAAACGGCGAGGCGAGACTTTAAATAGAGCGAACCCAATGTTGGCCAACAAAAAACTTACACTTCGTTAAAAATAGTTAAGGCGATTAACACCGAAATAACTCTTCACAGCATTTTCTTCTTCTTCAATTTCGCTTTATTTCACGTTATTTCAACATGTAGTCAAGTATGTAGTTTGAAAAGTCTAGAAAAAAAGCCAGTAGATAATTTAATCTCCTCCAGAAACGAGAAGAGAAACTCCGCGCTAGTTCATACGCACGACCCCGGAAAGTAACTACTAGAAGGTAGCTCGGAAGGCTAATGTTTAGCTTTAACAAGAGGAGGTGCGAGCTTTTCCACAACTGTTCAGATGGCTGTGCGCTGGCTATGCAGGTAAGAGTGACAGTACCGACGTGACGAAAGGTGTGTGAACGTGTAAAGAGTGAAAAACAGTGGAGTTATTCCGCCAAGGTGGGGCAGAGTCAGGTGATCATCGGGAGCTAGCTTTACGCACTGACACGGACAATGGCATTCTGGGAGCTCCGTGCGGGGAGACGGCGTGCTTTCTGTGAGCCATGAAGGTTGTTTAGATGATTACAAGGCTTGAGTGTGAAGTGTATTTTGTGGGTTTAGTTGTTTTGGAAGTGATACCCGTTGGAGGAAGCCCCTCGGATGGTCTGTGGGAGGGGCGACACCAGCCCGACCGCAGTCACTCAGTCAGTCAGTCGTTAGGTGCTGAAGCTGACCGGAGCATCCTCATCCTCCTTCCTTCCTCCTCAGCCTCCTTTATCTGATTTTTTTTGGGGGGATTATCTTTATCGGATGCTCCTCTGCCCCGCGAACAGCCCCTGCTTTGGCTGATGGAAAAAGACATCCGGAAAAATGTGCGCGAATGTGTTCGGAGTTTTGAAAAGGTGAGAAATGCTGCTGGTGTGTGTGTGTGCGTGTGTGTGCGTGCGTGTGTGTGTGAGAGAGGATACAGCTGACAGTGGAGATGCTTCAAGGTGTTTCAGTGAGATCCAAAGGTGTGGTGTTGTGCATATTCCCCCCCCTCCCCAAAAAAAGAGGAATGATACACCCTGGCTGTAGCAGCTGCTCAAAGCGGGATTTGGTGTGGTGACATAATGCGCCAAGCTGGTGCAGGAGGACCGGTGCATGCAGCCTGGAGCTGGGGAAGGTGCTAGATGGGGGTTTTTTTTGGGGGGGGGGGAAGGATTAAAGCAAAGGAGGATGCTGGTTGCATGCTACCTCATGCTCAGTTCGCCTTCATGCTGTGTGACTCACGGGAGGGCTGCAACTAATGATCGTTTTAAACCTGCAGAACATCAGAACCACTAATCGATGAAGCTTCAGTTTGAAATGCTCTTTCTTTGTCCAATAACAGTTGAAATGCAGTAGAGGATGTAAAATAGAAGGTGCATCTTGTTAATCATCTGAATCGTAATGTTTCTCAATTGGTTGTATTGTCTTATTACTTGTGTTGTGTGCAGGTCTTGTGCAGCACATGATGTGCAATATCTGTTGGTGGGTTTTTGTCTGTTTGCATATATCTGATTTTCTTTTAACATGTGGGTATTGTGTTGGTTTTTATGTTTATGTTTTTATTTAATGATTCTCCGGATGAGGCAGCTGAATGTTTGCAGCACTTTGAGTCCAAGACAAATTTCCCCAAGAGGGCGATAAAGCGTATCGCATCGTATCGCATCGTATCGTATCGTATCGTATCGTATCGTATCGCATTGTAATCTTATTGTATTGTATCCCACAGCACAAGACCACAAGATATAACATCATATAATATAATAAATAATGGAACATATCAAACATGTGTTTAGTAAATGCAATAATTAATATTTATTTGAAGTAAAGTTAGTTAAAAAGTTCAGCATTTTCTATTAGATTCTGTCACATATGACAAGTAAAAGTAGAAAATCCTCCCAATAAGGAAAACAGTTGATGCCTGTTTTACTTAAAAATGTCTGTAATTAAATATGAATGCAAAGCTTTATTGTCATTATACTGACATGTACTGAAATGGCTGACCCTGAGGTCAACTTTAAATATGAAAAGTATTCCAAAATTAAAGCAGATTAAAGAACAAATCAAATGGATGTGCAAGTGAGCTTTCGACAGCAGCAGTCCTGTTTACAGAATGGATGTGTCAATCAAGAATTTGGGGGGATTTTCTTTTCTTTTCCATCAAGTTGTCGATGAATCCGAACAGCTTTTATTCTTAAGTCAGTGGCAAACCTTTTCTTTCTTCACTGTACATAAAAAAGAAGCCCGTTCCTTTTTCCTCGTCTCTCTCTCGGACTAAATTAAGGCACGAGGTGTTTGCCAAGCTGGAGTGGATTTTACCGAGATTATCCTAATAAATACTCAGATTTGCGAGCTCTGGCTCATGCTGTTCATCCACTCCTCTGGAAAAAGCCCGGCCCCTCGCCCTCTTACATAAAAGTACTTTAGGGAGATGCTAATACATAATCCTGTCTATTCTAATAAGTGTTACTGATGCTGCGAATAACAAAGCATCATATTGTGGGCTATTCAAGTGCAACGATCAGCGTCATGCTTTCAGGCGTCTTGGCTAATAATGCCAGCCTGTCACATGACACAACCTCCCCTCGCTGAGACATGTTCTGGTGCAAAAAAAACCCTCCAATCCGCTCCTTATCTTAATCCTGTGTTTTAGCCTGTAGATAGAGGAGAGTTCACTTTGATGAAGGCGTCTGTGCAGCGATGTGAAGAATTTCCTCACAAGCAGTTTTTCCCCTTCCTCTCCCTCTGTTCTTTTATTTACTGAATTTCTTCGGAGGCTTCATTTCCGTAGTCTGCAGGGTTACATAAAGGTCGTCGAAATGTTCAGTGCTTTGATACTTTTGGACACGACGTGTTTTAAAAGGATGCAATCTCGGTTATTTTTAATGACCGATAGTATCAAAAAGTAAGGCGGCTTTTAAAAAATACAACAGATATCCCAAAGCTGAGAGAGAGAGAGAGAATGATAACTTTTGTCGATGTGCTTACTGCGAGTGCTCCACCATGAACTTGTTATTTATTGCGCAGTAAAAGTTAAAAGTAGGATGTGTTCCTTTTTTGGCTCCTACACCTGATCAAATTATTTCAACATCATCGACCCTCACATCCATTAGTGTCAGCTTCTGTTTGTTTTTCCTTCACATTAAAGCTGCTCAGCCTTTCTAAACGGACTTTAAATCAGAAACAGTTTCTCTGTGAGAATATAGAACCTGCATCTGAGGCTTCTCCTGGTTTCAGTGTAGAGCTCTGCAGTGTTCAGTGATATATGTGTAGTGTCAGTGAAGATGTGCTTCTCCAGGAGGCTTTGAACAGGAGTCAGACAGGCCTCTCTTCATCTCCAGTCTGAAGTGAGCGCTGAAGTTCAGGTGCGGCCTTTAAACCCCGCAGCACCAGAGAGTTCTTACACCGCCTGCAAAGTTTTCCCTGAAGTGATGAAAAAGAGACGATGTAGAAACGACGACAATGGAGGAAAAAGAGACTTCTTAACAGATGGAGAATTACTATGAAGACATGAAACAAGATAACAGAACTACAGAAAGATGCAAAACAATGAGAGTCAGTCGAGCTCTGGCTATATGGGCGACCAAGCCTTTTAATTTGGTGGTCAAAGTGCATTTTCGGTGGCCCAAATCTAAGCTTTGTAACGCCAAGAAAGCACAAAAGATTTATTGGAGGTTTTCACTTTTTTAAGATTTATTTTTTATTTTTTTAATGCTTTTTTTTAAAACAACAGGACAGTGGAAAGAGGAGGTAGAGAGTGAGAGAGAGACTCACTGCCCACACTGCATCCAGTAGATATTTACTTCTTTGCTCTGTGAATTTCAGTCCCTCCCTTTTTATTTCTGCAGTTGAAATAGTTTTATATGAATGGGTGTGATTGTGACTTCAGGGGTTTCTGCAGCCAGCGACAAGTGGACACTCAAAGAACTGCAGGTTTTTGCACTTCTGCTTTGGCTTCAATTTTCAACACACGGGTTTACACGATGCAAAATGCAAAACACATAAAATCAATAAGAAAAACAACTTAAAGAGGGAGGGATAGGTCAGGAGACACAATGCAGCGACAACACAAAACACTACAAATACAAACAAAACTACAAAGAGGCAAATTGAATGGAACAAGACAGAAAATGGCTTTTTCCCTCCCCTGTGAAACACTTTGAAGTGCAATAAGGGTGCTGTACAAGTCAAGTTTGATGGATTGAAATCAGAAAATAGTGAAAAGCGTTCATGGTTATTTCCCAATGTGTCGTCATCAGGTGTTTTGTAATGTCCAAAAGAAACTCTCCAAACCAAATATATTCAGTCAACAAGGTTTCATCGTCATGAAAAATGTTTAACTTTAGAGAATGTTTTGGGGCTTTTAAGATGATTAAATCATGTTTGCTGTGTGCAGATCACGGTTATTAAACTGACTCTATAACGTCACATTTAGCTGAAGGCGTGTTTCTGAGTCGTGCTGTTGAACGGGGAATACATCTCACAGCTGGAGGCACCTGTGACACACTTTGTTTAACAGAGTCTTCCTGCATGAGCGTGCAGATGCTGTTGCATATTTTGGGTGTTGGTCAGCTGCGTTTGTCTCTCCCTCCTCAGTATTTAAGGCTCTGCGTGTGTGTGTGTTGTGTGTGTGTGTGTGTGTGTGTGTGTGTGTGTGTCTGTATGTGTGTGCAGGCAGAATCGTTTTAATGTGGATTAGAGAGCTAGATCAGCATCATGTCAGCCACCGAGCCGGATAGAAACGCTCAGCGATACTCCGACCCGTTGTCATGTGGGTGTTCGTCTTGTCGAGACCGAATGTAGGTTAACCTCGTTCATTCTCTTGCATGATGGTAACGACACATTTTCATGAATTTGTAATGTGGGCTTTTTTTTCCCTTTCTTGTCTCGTCTTTCGCTGGGTTGTCACTCGATCGATCTGGAGTATGAAAACGGATTCAGAAAGAGGTCAAGAAAAGACTCCTCTGTTTGCTGATTTAACCACATAAGACATCTTTGTGTTGAGGGACGTGTTTACAGATCTCACTATACAGCATGTAGCGTCAGTCATCAGAGTACTGTTTATGATTTCTGAGATCTGTGGCTTTAAACCAGTTAAACAAACTCTGTATAATTTAAATCATCTTTACCGTCTGAAGAAAATCTACGGATAAAGTCTGACTGAAAAATCAATCAATCTTTATTTGTATAGCACCAATTCTTAATTTTTTTTTATCTCAAGACACTTTTCTAAAGAGCAGGAAAAAAACCTGTCGCCAAAACTTGAAGAGGCAGAAACCTCGAGCAGAACCAGACGTCTACTGAGACTGTGTTGGGCTTCAAAAATGGGATAGAGGGAGATGGGCTAAGCTGAGGAAGAAGGATAGGGACAAACAGAGGAGGGGGAGGGGACCTACAAGACATGAGAGGTCAGGAGCTCCCAGGTAAATGTGTGAATGTTAATGGCTGTTTGAGGTCAAGAATGAGGCTCACCCTGAAAACCTCAGGAGTGTTTCAGGAGTTTTGTGCAAGAGTGAACGCACTAAAAGAAAAAACAAAGAACATTCAAGATGGATCATTATTTATTTTCGGGTAAAAGATGTCATCTAGTTTGTCGTTGTGTGGCTAACATATCAAATCACCCAACCTCTCCGGCACCTTTCATTGAGTAAACTTAATGAACAAATATCACAATGACACTGTTAGAGAGGTTTGAATGAAACCACATCTTGTATTATGAGGTTGTAGTTTCTCTGGGCTGTGTTATATTGAGAGGGGGGTCCTAATATTATAACATGCACACATGAGAGAAACAGAATAATAACCTTTCAATATAGAGCCCTCCAGAACATTATGAATAATAGAATGAGGAGGGATGTTTACCTTCCTGACGGTGTCAACAAAAACTGGAACATTTTTAAACTTTGTAAAAAGTAGGGCTTGGACTGATATACTAAAAATAAAATCTTTTTAATGCTGCAAATGTTGATGTTTTTTTTTCCGGTTGCTGCGGTCTCGAGCAGCTCTCACAACGTCCCCCCGCTCGCCTTCATGCCTCTGTCTGTGATGCATGATGAATAACTCAGTCGTGCTTTTATTTGCCACAGACTTCAGGCAAACTTTGCAACGGGTCAGTGTTTCTCTTCTGGGGGTTGGATGCTTTAAGATGGAACCACTTACAGACGACTGTTGGTGCCTGTTTTTGGGAAGGAATTCATCCTGCTAATAAACACAATCACACCGGAGGGAGTGCAGTTAAGCTGGACATGCATCACTTTAAATTCTGACGTTTTACTCATTTCTGAGGTCAGGTTGTTAAAGGTTCCAACACTTTGACACCAAACAAGAACTAGCAGTGGTGGTCTGTTCAAATTCACAAATCGGCAAATACTGACTTTTTTTTTTAACTTCCTATTGGCGTTAAAGTTACGTTTATGTCTGTAACCAACAGATGTAGAGCAGAGGAGGTGACGCTGTCTAAATTGCACAAATATGCAGAATTAGATTTTGTACAGATTAGACAGTGTGCAGGAGTTTGTGTGCAATTTTTGGTAAATAAGAAGAAGAAATTATTGGGCTCCTCAGACTTCTATTTGCATGCCATGATGTTGAAACAGTTACAGATGGAATTAGATTTTTACTAGTATCATATCAACATTTTAAATTTCTGGTGTTGTGACTGATAACCCGAGTACTGAAGAGGACACAGAAATGTTGATATAATCTCCTGTACCCATAACAAACAATGTGAGGACGGAGGCTCAGTTTTTTTTCTAAATGGCACGGCAGTTCCTGCAAGAGAAGGCTGGTTACATTGCCAGAAACCAGCAGCTAGTCAGGAAGTGACAGCGCAGAAGTGCAGCGTCAGGATTGCTCACACATAAGATGGATTATTTTCATGTTTAATGACTCCTCAGCCTCCCAGGCTGCTTCTCTGACACGTTAAGCACAACAGAACGGCCTGCAAACTGGAGATACCACTCTTTGTGCTCGGCTGAGTTTTTCTCTTTGATTTGTTTTTTGTTTTGTGTCTTTGGGCGACCATCTCCATGACAGCGATTGTTTTTTAAATCAAAAGGTTATATTGTACAACTGCATCGTATCCGCTGTGTGTGTGTGGATGCTTTTGTTCCTGCTGTAGATGCAAAGATAAAATCGCAAAAATCTTCATGTGTTTCCACATGGCGCCCACACAGACAGGCTCATTATTAACACATTAAGTAAAATGTGAAAACAGGGTTCATCATACGTACATCAGCTGTAAATTCCTCTGGAGTCATTGTAGATTTAAATGGGTGCCAGAGGATGCAGAGTTTGTCTTATTGCCAGCCGCTTTGGCAGAGATCCAGACGTTAGTTGGAGGTCCTGTTCAACCAGTGGGCATCTGAAAAGAAAACTTCTGAAGTAATCCACCCATTCTGGTCTGTACACAACAATGCTAGCTCTGCTGAGGCTCTGTTCCCGCCTGCTGTGAATTGTTGCTCATTGTTCTGACTTTCCTTTCATGCTGCCTTCTTTCTTCCAGCCTGTTTGGGAAGCCCTTTGATGGAGGGAAGAGGATGGACCATGGAGTCCCACAGCAGCAGCATCCGATGGAGCAGCAGCAGCAGCCGTATCACCCGCAGCACCCCGCCATGATGCGGCTCTACGAGGTGCAGAAACAGGTGGAGTCTCTCGGGCCGCAGGTGTGCACGTTCAGCGGCATGCAGAGCGACCGCGACTACAAGCGTTTGGAGCGCGAGCTGACGCGGCTGCTGCTGGATGTGGACCAGGTGGACACGGAGGGCAAGCCGGAGCTGCAGGGGGCCAGAAAGAGAGCGGCGCAGGAGGTGGAGGGCCTCCTACGCTACCTGGAGGAGAACGCCACGCACCCGTCGCGTCTGGCCATCGAGGAGCTGAGCGACAAGGCGCGGCAGCTGATCGACGAGCGGGTGGTGGTGCCTCAGCGTTCGGGCGGGGTGACCGAGATAGGCGACGATCTGGTGGACACCCTGCAGGAGCTCGTGCTGAGGCTCACCCAGGTGAAGACCGAAGGGAGGGTGCCGCTCCGCAAGGCGCGCTACCGGGCACTGACGCGCCTCTGCGCCGTGCAGGATGTCCTCGAGGGCCGCACGCAGCAGCAGACCCTCTCCCTGCCGCTGTCGGGGGAAACCCACGAGTCGGTGAACCGCATCAACCAGGTGATGGTGAAGGTGAGCGTGGCGCGCAGTCAGCTGGTGGCTCTGCTGATGGGGCTGAGCGGCAGGGACAGCTGCGCCCACCTGTCCCGGATCCTGACGGAGATGCAGGTGGAGCTGGACGCCTTGGATGTTTCCGGGAACGCGGCGATCAGAAATTACAGGAAACAGGTGGTGGAGGAGATTAACGGGCTGCTGAAACATCTGGACCTGGAGGGAGAGGGAGAGGACACACGCAGGTACGCAAAGGGAGGCCGTTTGTGCAGATTGGGGATTTAACACCAGATTTATTTTCATCAGGTTGTCCTTCTCTATCGATCGAGCAATCCTTTTTAGTCTGTTTCCAAAACGGCAAGGTGAGGTCTTCTTCTTTTGCCATGCCAATATTTCAAAATAAAGTACATTTAATTGTCTAATGCGACTAAATAATTACACTTGACATTGCTCAAAAAACCAGTATCCAATTATCAAGCGTAAAGATTTCCTCCAGATTTCTGTCAGCATACTGATTCTTCAAACTTCAGTGCAGATTTTTGGGTTAGAAGATAAACAACTCCCCAGGAAGGAGGCGCTCTGCGTTTCTCCAGCAGGTTGGGTGGTAAACTGGGAGGACTGCTGGATTGTTGTCGAATTTCAGTTTTGAAATCTGAATCATGCGTCACTGTCAGGAGTGAATTAGTCTCCACTCGCCAGAGAAAAAACCGATAGCAATAAAACGCCCACCTCATACTTCATTATGTACAAGCAGAGACGAGTATTGATTCAAGGACCACTCCATTCACATGTTTGTATTTGTGAGGCCTGGTTTTTGGGGCCACGGTAAAAAAAAAAAGAAGGCTGTTTTATAATAAGCATGCGATGAAGATGAGCTTATTTTTAATGAAATTGTGGAATATGCTGATGTTTCTTCATAGAGGATTTAATGTTTATTCCTACAAACTGTCAGAACAGTCGGATTTAGGATTGTAAGCGTTTAACTTAAACGACCATTGATAAAATTAACGATCAACCAGTCGATTAAGTGTCGTTTTTTTCTCACAGTACTTCAGTGGAATCACAACATCACTGACGGTTAATCAATCTGCACATTCCTAATATTTTATGATCACCATAAAACGATTTCATTATGATTTAAACCATCTCATCAAGGCTAAATAAAATGTAGTTTCTGAAGCTGATAAAGATGCTCTGCACATGTTTGATTATGTTTCACTTGGTTTGAAGTCCTGCAGTCATTCAGTGTTTGTTCCTTCAGGTACGACTTGGCTCAGAACAACTCCATCCGTGAGATCGAGGCGGTGAGAGCTCACGTCTCCCACCTGCGAGAGGGCGTCCTGCGGCACTGCTACATGGGAGACCTGAGCTTCAGACCCAAAGCGGAGCTGCAGAGCCTCCTCACTCACCTGGACCAGGTGGACACGGCTAAGAACCCTTGCATCAGAGAGGCCCGCCGCCGCGCTGTAGTCGAGGTCCAAGCCATCGTCACCTTCCTAGACCTCCGCGAGGCTCTGGTCTGCCGCCAAACGGGTCCCAGCGAGCATCCGTCGCACCGGTCCGTGTGGCTGGTCCTGGGCAGCCTGTCGGACCTCCAGGCGCAGGTGCTGGGCTTCGATGGAAAGCGGGCCGACAAGAGCTACATGATGCTGGAGGAGCTGCTGACCAAACAGCTGCTGGCGCTGGACGCTGTGGACCCGCAGGGCGACGAGAGCACCAAGATGGCGAGGAAGCAGGCGGTGAAGTTTGCCCAGAACATTCTCAACTACCTGGACATGAAGACGGACGAGTGGGAGTACTGATCCGTGAGAAAAAACTTTGATGGGAGACGTCGCTGCAGGAGTGGAAAGGTGGTCGATGATAATGTCTGTAAATTCAAAAAAAAAAAAAAAATTAAAAACTGGCACGTTATCATTCCATGGGTTGTAAATATTGACTCAAATCCCCAGAATGCACTGCAGCAGCGCTTTTATTTAGTTGTGGTAGTTGTGGCCGATCCTGCAGAGAAGTCAACAACACAGAACTCCTTTTGTGGAACACAGTTGGAATTATTTTTGGGTGCTCTTTTTGAAAATTTTCTTTTCAAATCCCACATTTGTGTGTGTGTGTGTGTGTGCGCACGTGTGTGTGTGCGCGTGTGCGGTCGTTTGTTTGTGCGTGTGAGATGTCGTCGGTTGTCGTCGTGTTTGGTGTGCGTGGTCGTTGAAGCCTGCTGCTGCCAAAACATTAAATAATGCCTGTTTTAGTGGTTGTTTTCTCCAGACTGCACTTGATATCGACAAATCCCCGCCGAGTGTGATGGAGTGCTTCACAGTTGCTTCCCCCCCCTCCCACCCGTCTGTCCGTCTGGCCCGATTGAACCAGTCGATGGTAGAGTAGCAGATGCATGTGTTAAATACAGTGACCTAATTAAGAAGAGTCCAGCACTACCACGAGACTCGGGTTGAGCCCTGTTGGTTCAGTGCAGATTTCGGCCCTAAAAACATCAAAAATCTGGATTATTTTTCCTTTAATTCGACGCCTCTTGAATTGAAATCAGAATAATTTTCATGTCTATTCGATAGCATGAACAAAACTTAAATTTGAATTAAATTAAATTTGCTGTTAAATGTGCTTTTGCACCATCGATAAAGGTTTTTGGGGCCCTTCAGAAGCTGTATGTGAGGTGAAAAATCCGGCGGTTTTCACGCTGCTGTTGCCTGCAGGTAATCTGTGTTTAAACAGATGTAATTAGAGGGAGAACTGTGGGAGTTTGCAGCTTTGGCGTGAGGTCACTCGCCACTCCTGTGCGACCCTGTTTGTCCCCCACAGCTTTTGCTCCGTGTCTCTGGTCGCGCTCCAGTTCACACGGCCGTGGCACACTCTCCAAAAAACCCTGCAAACCGCAGCTGTCGCAGGTCAGCCGGTCAAATATCAGCAGAAAACATGAGATCATATCAGCGTCAGTGAAGTTTAATGTGAGGCAGCCTGTCAGCTGTGAGAAAGTTGTTTGAGCGAGAGCAGGATGTTTGAAAGATCAAAGTACCTTCCCCTCTTTGCTGCCTGTGTAGCTGTTAGTCTGTAATGTGCTTCAAATGTTTGTTGTGATTTTGTGTGATCGCGTAAGGCTATAAATGGATCAGGTTTTAATTCAGAGACGGAGGAGAGTAGGAATTATTTTTATTTTTTTTGCTACTGCTGCTGCTGCTTTTTGTTTCTACCCACTGCTTTCTACTAAGTGTGACTGTGCGAGGTCCCTGGAGAGAGAGAGAGAGAGGAAGAGGAAGAGGAAAGGAGGCGGCGATATCCTCTGGATTGACACATTAAGGATGAAGATAACGGGGCCAACAGTTGCGTCCTGTGCGGCGGAGAGTTTTGACGGTGATCAAGGCCGACGGAGCCTTCTAGAGACTTCTCGAAGCTGCTCGAGACAGTGGGAGGGAGGGGAGGGAGGGTAAGGACTGGGAGAGAAGTCCAAATCTCTTGTGCCTTTATTTTCACCCTTCCCTTTGAGCCGGTTTGTTGTCGTGCAGCGACTGAAGAAGGAGCGAAGCAGCTCCGTTCTTTTTGTATTCATGCTAAAGCACCGAATGTGTTTAAGGAGAGAGCACCTTGGCCACTGTCGCCAACGAGGAATTTGCACTACTTGTCAGAAAAAGTTCCTGTCAGTATTTAATCCCCCCGATGAGGACTAGAGGTGGTGGAGTTCTGGTCAATAAATTGCAGTATCACAGAAGGATAATACTTTGTGCTGCAGGCAATAAAAATGAGTCACATTGTGCTTTCACACTGCAAACAGCAGAGCTGATGGGGATCTTGCTCCAAAAAAGCAATTTGGCAACAGAAGCCCAAATTTCAAAGGACAAGGCTGAATAATTAGCTACATTACATCACAGCTTCCTGCTGACCTGTGATAATGAATACGTTCAGTTCTAAGATGATCGTTTCTGCAGAAGATATTACATTTCAGAGCTCAATCTTGACCTCGAGTCAGCAGCTGAGAAAACAATTACATCTCATCTCAGAGTTGTTTTGAAGCGTTCGATCATATCACTTTGTCTGTGTCAGGAAGGTGGACTTTTTCCTTTAACTTAATTTCTTGCAGAGCACTTTAAAATCTTAAATAACAATAAATAATAAACATGTCAGGCGGCATGTTGTTTAAGTTTCTCCCCCTATATTTAGGCTAGACGAGCAGCATTCAGTCATTTCATATTGTATGACTGAGTGCTGTCAGACGGGGCCCCTTAGGGAAGTTTCTAACTATCATTGCAAACTTGGCAGAACTTCAGCAACTGCTTTGGTTTAAAGTTTGTCAACTGATGTTCACAAGGTCAAAAACAAACATTTAATTTGATATTCAAGCAAACGGAAGTACAGAAAAAGAATGGAAAGTCTTCATCTTTTCTGATGGCCAGTTAACAGCTGACGATTTCAAAAACTAGCAGAAGCCAAACGACCTCACTCCACTGACCCCTCTCTTGATTTTCCATCAGCTCCTTTTTTGACCTTTTTGCAGTGTGAACGCCGAACTAAAGTGTCATGTATTGATTGTTACAAAGTTGACATTTTCATTCTTTTGCTTGTCCTGGCTGATATTGACGGTTGTCCCGTGTGTCACTACTTTTTTTGGAAACACAAAAAGAAAAAAAAAACACAATGCAGTGAACTCCCACATGCCGCGTGCATTAAGCTGCTGCTGGAGGCATTTTCTGGCTGGTAGCCTGCAGCTCGGCCTCCTGGGTATGGAGCTGACTCATGTGGGAGAAGATTAGATTAAACAGTGTTCATTAAACATTGTCAGCCGGCCTGGCTGCTGTTGCAACAGATGCTTTCTCACAGCGAAACCTTATGCTCTCTCGTAGACCAAACCCACCCGGACACACCTTAAGTTCACATGCTCTTTTTTGTATGCAGTATTATATAAATAAATAATGTACATTGGATTCTAGCGGTTCAAGGCATTTCTGTACATTTCTTATTCTTTTTTTGGGGATATTTTATCAAAGATTTTACATTATATAAAGACATGTTACTTCTGTTACATTGTTAGAGGTGTCTTAAAGCTTCGGCTCTTTTTTTATCCAGTGTTATCAACGGGTTTTCCAGAACACCCACTCATGAATCTAACAGATTTAAACTCTGTGGTTTAAAGGTCACATACAAAGTACACTTCACCATGTTCTCTAACTCTAACATGTGTCTCTAGTCCGTCTACAAACCCCCCAATTATGAGAAAAGTCCATCCTCTCCGTCTTCTGCCTGCTCCACTTTTCAGAAAATGTGTCCTCAAACAGACTGTTTGGAGATTTTCCCTTCATGACATCACAAAGGGCAGTAGCCCCTCCCCCAGGTGGGTGACACTCCCACAGCTAGGTGTTTGTTCTGCCCTCTGAGTCTGCCTTCTCACCGTAAACAATAGGACATGGAGCGAGAAAGCACCGAGTACCGAGTTAAACTGGTTGAAGAGGAGGAGATGTGACCTTTAAACTTTAAAAGAAGGAAGGCAGTGAAGTGAAGCACTGTTTTTTAAAAATGTTTTTCTGAAAAGATTTTTGTTTGAATCTTTGCCAGCGAGCTGATGCAAGAACAAGTAAAAGTCCCACATTTGACCAGTGCAGCTTTTAATCTGTGCTGTGTACAAATAAACCCCTCACCTAAAGTAGAATCACAAACAAATGTTGACTTCTGAATTAAAGGGTCTGAATTGATTGCAGTATTTAAATGATTTTTTTTTGTGGCTGAATATGCAAAGAAAGAGAACTGATTTTCTAATCCTGAAAGAATTCAAATGTATTTTTTATGATTACTAAAAGTCCCTGCATGAGTGCGAAAGTTTGTCACATAACCTCCACTCTGGATTTTGAGAGTGGAGTAAATTTTCTCTAAAAGCACAATCCAGGCTTGTCTCCTCGACAGTTAGTGCGTCCAAATTTAACAACAACTCTGTTATTTAACAGAGGTTAAAACACGTTGGTGCCAACTGACCGTACGGCTCCACTGTTTCAGGCGAGGACGCTGGGGATCGCGCCAGAGCACTCAACTCGACACTTGACGGGTGTATACTCACTGAAAACTGGGCTTGTCTAGATTTTCTCCTGGACCTCCACACCCACTTTTGATAGCAGAGTTTTTGCTTTAGGTGACATAGCCTCAATGAATGCACCTGATTGGATAAACATGCAGCTAGTCCTTGACTAATTTGCATAGACTAAAATAGAGCTCTGGTCGCCGAAACAATCCCAATATGCACTGCGGACTGCGTCTCCGGCTCTCCATAGGAAATGAAAAGAAAGCATTGAGACGCGACCCGTCTCTGGAATGAACGGACTGAAAACTTCCCCGTAGCGTGCTGCAGTAAGAAGCCTTTCTTGCCCTCCAGGTGGGCTGCTCTAAGTGTGTGACGTCTTGAATAAAAGTAAAAAAAAATCCGCTTTAAACCCGATTCTATCCAACATGACCTTATTGGGGACGTGCTTCTAAAAACGTCCTCTAAAAAAATCCTCTAAACCAAATTTAATTTAGTGTTTAATATGTTGACGCATGTAGACATCTTCATTGTGACTACATTGATTTGTTTTGTAATATTTTTTGGAGAAAATGGAGCTCTGAAGTAAGGAAGTGAAGGAAGTGTTTGTTGTTTTTTGGACAAAATATGTTTACAGAAAATGTTTTCAATTGTTAATTGTCCTCTGACCTTAATAAAAAAAAGACTGAGAAAGCTCCAAAACTGTTGCCTTGTCCTAATATTTTGAAAGGGTTAGAAAGTGGCTTTAATTAAAATGAGAGCACAAGAGTTGTAATAATGATGCAAATTTAAAAATCAGCAGCACGTACCATTACTGGATTATAGGTTCTAAAATGTTGTGAAAATGAAATCGATAAAGCTCTTAATACTGATTCAAATGTTCAAATCAAAAGTCCCTCACACTGCACTTACATAATCTCCTCCTGTAGTCACCGTCTTCTTCACAAAGATGTTCTCTATCCCCCCAACACGCAGCACAGCCGCTAAAAGCAGCTCAGGGTCGTCTCGAATATCTGAACTTGGTGGCACTGGAGTGCATTAGTGGAGAGTTTTAAAAGATTCAGACGGTCCAGTGGGGATTGAAAGGCTTCTTCTGTTTGTCGTCCATCAGCCCCCTTTAGAGGACGATGCGTGCACAACGGACAACAGATGGAGCGAGCGTCCTGCAGGTTTTTCATGTGTGAAGATTTTTATTTTCTTCCCCTTGAATGAATGTAGTCGGTGAAGGATGTTTGTGTTTCTTTACCTTTCATTGCACCCAAGTGTATTTCAACAAGGAGACATTAAGATTTAAGAAAACAACACAAGAGTGTCACAGATATA